AGGGAAGAGCCATGCATGTGCTGGATAAATGCTGAAGCCTTTTGGGGCCCGTGGTAGGGAGGAAGTGGAGAAGGCTCAGGGAACTAGGGAAGGGGCTGCCTGGAGCACTGGCCAGAGAACCGTGGAGGACAGATTCCAGCACTGGACGGTGGGAGGGAGCCCAGGTGTCTGGAGGAGGGTGTGTCAGGCCAGAGAACAATATGGGCAAAGGCCCTGAGGCTGGACCTGTCTGCTTGGCAGCCTGGAGGCCTGTGCAGGGAGGGGTAGAGGAGGTCATGCTCAGGTGGGGCAGGTGCTTCGTGCCCTTCAGGGTGCATGGACAGCTCGGGTTTTCTTTTCAGTGTGCGATGTCTGGAGCTACCGTGCTGGTAACAGATCTGTGGGAGCCAGAGCAGGAGCAGAGACCAGGGAGGCATCCTGGCCATTGGTAGGGGTGGCTCCTACTTGGATCAGCAAGGGGAACGTTCCTCGGAGCCCACAGGGTTTGCAGATGGATGGAGCAGTGAGATTTGAGAGAGGGAGAGAGATGGGGAGGACAAAGCTGCCCTGACAGATGGGAAATGGGCGTGACATGGGAAAGGGGCATGGTGTGATGAATGTGGGGCTCCTATGGACCCTGAGGGGAGATGCCAGGTAGCAGGCATCAGCTCCCAGGAAGGAGCTCCAAGCCTGTCCAGGGCGGGGTTCCAGGAGGAAAGGAATCCCGTGTGGGCGGATGCAGAGTGGAGCAGGGCAAGAGGACAGGGTGGGCTGGGGCAGCAGATGAGAGCCAGGGGACTGCAGGAGTGTGTGAATGGGGCACCTTAGGAGCCGTCCTGCTGGCCTACAGGACATCAGGAGGCAAGGAAGCAGGACCGGGAACGGAGGTGGGTTCCCCAGGAGCTTGTGGGCCACAGGGCCCCAAGAGGCTGGCAGGGCCCACCACACGGATGACAGTGACCTGGGCTCACATCCTGGTGCTTCACACCCCTGCCCTCTCTGGCAAAGGCAAGGCCAGAAATCAGGCCTGCATCTGAGAAACTGATGTGACTCCATTTTAAAAAAAACAGCCGCTACCTCAGAGCAGGGCCTGTCCTAAGGTGGGGGGAGGGAATGACCCGGCTCCTAGGCACATAGCCACCCTGCTGAGTCATTTGTCATATGTCCTGGACTCAACAAATGCAAGTTCCTGAAAAGACCAAAAGAATGCTTGAGGGCTGGGGTGGTGGCTCAGCGGTAGAGCGCTTGCCTAGCATGTGCAAGGCCCTGGGTTCCATCCTCAGCACCACATAAAAATAAAGGTATTATGTCCAACTACAACCAAGAATGCTTGAGGCCTAGTTTCGGTGATTGATAACATTAGGCCACTCTGCAGTTGAGCATATATACTCTTGCAACCCCTTGCAGCCTAAACCAATCAGTTCAAATGTATCCACCACTTGAACCAATCAATTACCCCTATCCGACTTGTTCCCACCAGTGAATATGCTAATCAATGTTAAGACTTGTTGTTGATTTTCCCACGGTGTGAAATGATTTGCTGTATGATGTTGTGACGCATAGAGTATCCCCCCAAAAACCTATAAATCCTCACTGAACTAAGGGTTGGGACTCAGTCCCTGGGACCGATGTGTCAGGAACGGTTGTGAGTCCAGGCTCGAGCTTGCAATAAAGACTCTTGTGTGATTGCATCGGATTCAGCTCCTGGAGGTCTATGGGGTCCCACGAATCTGGCATTACAGATCCACACCAGGGTCAGCGGGAACAGAAGATGGCATGGCCATTTGGAAGACAGTCCAGCATGCCCTTAAACAGAGATCAGAGTCCCTGTAGGACACAGCAGCCCACACCAGGAGGACACCCAGAGCAGGAGCACATGGACCCACATAGAACCTTACGCAGCATCACACAGCTGGCAGGCACGGTCCACCAAGAGATGAACGGTAAGTGTGTGGCGGGTCACGTAAGAACACAGTCCAGCAGTGACATGAACGAGGCCGGACATACAAGGTCACACAGTGTGTGACTCCGTGGATAGGAATGTCCAGGCAAGTCCAGAGACAGGGTGCGATTCATGGGAGTGGCTGAGGGTAACTGTTCATGGGGACAGGCCTTCTTCTTCTTCTTTTTTTAAAATTTTTGTTGATGTTAGCTGCAGGGTGGGCTGAACACCTGACCCCCCCACCTGTCTGGCCCCTTTCCGGTCTGCCTGAGGGCAGAAGATGACACCCTTAGCAACTACTGTATGACCCAATCACTGTACGCCAATAAGGCAGCTTGCAGACCCAGAGACCCCATTAGATTTTGGCTATAAAAACTCTCTCTCGGGCTGGGGATGTGGCTCAAGCGGTAGCGCGCTCGCCTGGCATGCGTGCGGCCTGGGTTTGATCCTCAGCACCACATACAAACAAAGATGTTGTGTCCACCAAGAACTAAAAAATAAATATTAAAAAAAAATTCTCTCTCTCTATCTTAAAAACAAAACAAAACAAAAAAAAAACAACTCTCTCTTGGGGCTGGGGTTGGCTCAGTGGCAGAGTGCGCACATGTGAGGCACAGGGTTTGATCCTCAGCACCACATAAAAATAAATAAACAAAATAAAGGTATTATGTCCATCTTCAACTAAGAAAAAATTAGGAAAAAACCCCTCTGGCTTTGCGCGTGGGCTGATGCCACCCCGCCTGCTTTGCTCTCTCCCTCCTCTTTCTCTTTCCCTGCCCTTTCTCTCTTTTCTCTCCCTTCCCTGTTAATCAAGACAACACCACAATAAAGATCTCTTGGTCACGCAGAGTGTCAGGGTCACTTTCTTTTCAGTTGATTCTGGGATGGATCCAGGGCCTCATTATGTGTTAGGCCAGCACTCTACCACTGAGCCACAGCACCAACCCTTTCATTTTGAGACAAGCCCCTTGTTCAGTTGCTGGGGCTAATCAGGCTTGCTGGCACATGCTTGGAATCCCAGCAACTTTGGAGGCTGAGGCAGGAGGATCACAAGTTTGAGACCAGCCTGGGCAACTTAGTGAGACCCTGTCTAAAACTAAAAAGGCCTGGGAATGTGGCTCAGGGGCAGAACACCCCTGGGTTAAGCCCCAGGACTACCAAGTCAATCCACACATTGGGCCACAGTCCCTGTCCTTCCTCCTGGAGCTGCTGTGGGACCACCAGGAACTCTGCTGCTATAGAAGAACTTCCTTGAGACGATCCCGAGACTTCATTTCCTCACCAGTGAAGTGAGATCCCAGGGGAGAAGCTGGGAAATTCCAGACACAAATCCATCCCAGTGCCTGGGGTGCAGCTCCCCAGACCGGCCACTGGCCTCCAGTCCCCACACCCCCTCTTCCACCTCCTGCTCTTATTGCAGTTGGCACCAAGTCAGGAACACAGTGAAGTCCCTCAGGTCCCCACCCTGAGGGCACCGCCCTGAGCTGTTTTTCTGGCAACCACAAGTAAACAAGCTTCTTGGTGTTTATGGCAAAGTACAGTAAAGTAACGGTGAATGAGCAAAGCTAGAGACAGCTGCCCAGGATCTCACAGTGTGGCCACGCTGCTGTGTCCCCAGCACTCCCCCAGGGCTGGAGGAAATGGGGGACTTCCTGAGAAGGGAGGTGGCTGGTGAGACAGGGACAAGGGGACTCTGCCAAGCAGCCAGTCTCAAAACTCCTGGCCTAGCTGGAGGGAGCCTGGTGAAAAGTTCGCACAAGCCGGGTTCTGGCATCTGGCTGGCAGGCCCAGGTCTCCCAAGACCTCCCCCCAAATGGTACCAGCTCAAGTGAGACCTCGAGGGACACACAAGCCAGCGGCCAGTCCTGGGTGGACAAGCTGGCTGAGGGAGCGCTCAGCTCGGTGCCCAGGAAGGGGCTGGGTCTTGCTTTGTACCAGCAGCCAACAGTGTCCAGCAGGGACAAGGCGCCGGAGCAGGAGCCTCAGCCCAGTGTCCTCAGTACCCACCTGCTGGGGACTGTGCGGCCTGAGCAGCCCCAGGGCAGACGCTGGAGCTGGCTCAGGACAGTAGGGTCTTTGACTTACAGGACTTGGAGAGAAAGGAGTCTCATCAGCAGGCCATCGCCCACATATTGCCCAGATCAGGCAGCGTTTTGGGGGTCCCAGCTTTTCTTTTAAAGGAAACTTGGGGAAGATGGGCTTGGGAAATGTGGAGATGACATCAGTTGGGTGATCACCAGGGGGTACACTAGGGTCCAGCAGTTCTCAGGGTCCTTAGACTGGCGTAGCCTCCATTATCTTATCAATAGGCAACACTGGAAAGTCCCTTAAAATTACAGGTTGCTCAAAATATACCTCTCTTAATCTAAATATTGGCGTTTAATTAACGGTGCACAAAGTATGCGAAAATGGATTTACAGATGATTTAAGATTTACAAATTTCCCAGGAATTTGGGAGTGGCAGGCCTGGAAAAGTATGCGGAACTTCTGAACTAAATCTTATTTCCTTGCCCTTTCTTGACGTCTCCTTTCCAGCCATTCCTGGCTTCTCCCTCAGATCTCTGGGGTTAAGGCTCCCAGCTGACGCCGGGGCACGTGCTTAAGGCACACGCAAATCCCAAAGACCGGGCGGAGCTGCCGCTGCCCTCAAGGGGCAGGCGCGGTGAGCACGCGTGAGAGGCCCGCGACCCCGTCCCCGCCCGACCGGGCCCCTGCACGGCTAGACTTTGTCCATACTAAAATGTCCTGCTTCCGAAAGACTTTTTTCGGGGGTGCCTTTTCTACTATTTCGAATTCCCCGGACTGGCGGATGCTCAAGCGCTATGGCGAAGCGCCCCGATACCTGCAACCGCCCGGATAACTGTCCGCCGCCCGCGTGGACGCGGCTCCTGCCCCAGCCCTAACCTTTGAGCATGCGCAGTCACTGACCTCAACAAACACCCACAGGCCCCGCCCCGCCCCCTTCCACCTCACTGCGGACTGCCATTGGCTGGTTCTGGCGCGTGTCTGCAGCGCCGATGCGAATGGCCAATGAGGGTGCTGGTGGGCGGGACCGAGGGTGGGCCGGCGAGATTGGCCGGCGCACGTCCATTGGCCGGCTGAGCGAGGGGAGGAGCCGCTGGCTCTGGCCGCCGCCGCGATGATCCTGGGCCGCCTGAGCCGCTTTAGCCGCCTGCTGAAGCCAGCGCTGCTGTGCGGTGCCCTGGCTGCTCCCGGCTTGGCCGGTACCATGGTGAGTGCCGCGTCCGCCTGCCGGCCGGGGCCGTTAGAGTTCGCGCGGGATCACGGCCGCGGGCCGGAGCGTCGGGTGGTCGTCGTCAGCCGGGGTAGGGGGCGTCCGCCGGGAGGGGGTCTGTCCGGGACGGCGGATCGGGGTCGGGTCAGTTTCCCGGACTGCGGGCCAATGTCGGGGCTGGAGGTGGGGCCAGAGTGCGGGGGCATCAGCTCTGGCGGGTGTAGGTGTTGGGACGAGGAAGAGCTCGGCCGCTTGGGCCTCGGGTGGCGCCCTCGGGCAGAGCAGGGGCAGCGGCGGCGGGGCCCACGGGACGCCCCACGGGCTGGGCTCCGGTCATGCTCCGCGGCGGCGCGCCCCGCCCGTTCAGTGCCGGGCCTGCGCCCGGCCTGCGCAGTGCGTCACAGTCGGCGGCGGGGCTCTCTGGCCACCTGCCCTTTGTCCCGGCCTGGCGGTTGGTGGGCCCAGACGGCCAGGCATGCTTTGCAGCCGGGGGCTCCCTCCCCAAGCTGCTGTATGTAGGCAGCAGGGCCGGCGCCTCCGGCCGATGGATCCCTGTCCCTGCAGCCCCGAGCTGGAGGTGCAGACTACCATCCAGGAAAGTGAACTTCCCTCCGTCGCTGTCGTGGCAACCTGGGGGTATCGAACCGCCCTCCCACCTCAGTGTCCGTCTCCTGTAGCCCCTCGTGAGCACCATGGAGGAGAAGGAGCCCTGAGCTTTTCGTGCCCCGGGGCCCCTGGTTTCCTCAGCACTGGCCTGTCAGGAATCCCTTCCTCCTGAGAAGACCCCAGTGGGTTCTGGCTGCGCAGACCTGATGCTGCTCAGCCCCCCTTGCCTTGCAGTGTGCGTCCCACGATGACTGGCGCTGCTGTCGCTCCATGCATGACTTCTCAGCCAAGGACATCGACGGGCATATGGTTTGCCTGGACAAGTACAAGTGGGTACCTGCCATTGGGGGTGCAGGGTCCACCCAGAGAGGAGCCGCTGACCTCTCCTGACCACTGCTCACCCACTCTAGGGGCTTTGTGTGCATCGTCACCAATGTGGCCACCCAGTGAGGCAAAACCCACGTAAACTATACTCAGCTAGTCGACCTGCACGCCCGATATGCTGAGTGCGGTTTACGGATCCTGGCTTTTCCCTGCAACCAGTTTGGGAGGCAGGTGCGTCACTGCCCAACCCCTGTCAGAGAGAAGACTTCGGGCCTGGACAGGGCCTGGGGTGCCTGTAGCCCACACCTCTGTTACCACTGCAGGAGCCAGGGACCAACGAGGAGATCAAGGAGTTTGCCGCTAGCTATAATGTCAAATTCGACATGTACAGCAAGATCTGCGTGAATGGGGAGGATGCCCACCCGCTGTGGAAGTGGATGAAAGTCCAGCCCAAGGGGAGGGGCATGCTGGGAAAGTGAGTGGCACCTGGGGGTGGGGCCTGCAGTCTGGTCATTTGCTGATCCCTGACCTTCTTTTGCTTCTGTTGTAGCGCCATCAAGTGGAACTTCACCAAGGTGAGGGCAGTGGGAGGGGACAAGGGGCTTGGTAGCTTGCCAGGCCCTGCCCCTACCAACACAGGCCTCTTCTCTCAGTTCCTCATAGACAAGAACGGCTGTGTGGTGAAGCGGTATGGTCCCATGGAGGAGCCCCTGGTAGGTGCCTTCTGGGGAGCCAGCCTGGTGGGGGCCCTGGGAGGGGCCACCCCTTACCCACCTTTCCCTACAGGTGATAGAGAAGGACCTGCCCTGCTATCTCTAGCCTCACAAGCTGTGCCCCTGCCGAGCCTCTGCCCACGCCCCCAGAGCCTTCTACCTGGCAACTATGACGGCCCGCCTGCAAACCAGCCTTGCTGGTGGGGCGGGCCTGAGAACCTGGCGTGCACCTGCCAGAGGAAGGTCCTGCGGCTCTGCGGGCTTAGCTAGGCGCCCCACCTTGGCTACCTTGTGGGAATAAAATGTAGAAATCCATCTCTGTTGTACTGCCTGGGGGTGGGGCTCCCTCAGGGTTCAGAGAGCTGCTGTGGGATCTGGGTTAGCTGCTTGGACTGTGCTGATCCCCAAAGCTGGGCCTCAGGGCACAGGCAGGAACTGGTCTTGGGAAAGGATGCCTAGAGGTGTTAATTCTCCTAAGCTGCAGTTCTTCTTGGCAAAGGTGTTAACCCATTAGGAGCAGTCATTTGAGATCTGCAGGAACCCCTGTCCTCCCTAATTCTTGGAGGCTGCATGCAGTCAAAGATGGGAGGGTCAGGGCCCAGGGACACTAGTCAGGGTGACCATGCCTGCCCTCTGGGCTGCATCTGTTTCTTGGGGCTCCTAGGGGGTGTCACTAAATGGTCTTCTCTGAGGTCTGGGCATGGACTGTGGCCAGGAAGGAACTGTGGACCAACATAAGCTGCCGTTTGGAGAGGTCCAGGCTGGCTGCAGTTTGAGGAAAGTGGGCCTGACCAGGGGCTGGCAGGGTGGCTGAGCCCAGCTGTCCCCCTGGTCTCTCCTGCCTTCTTGGAATACTTCCAGGAAAGGCCAGCAGCAGGGGATGAGTCCACTGGGGTCAGGGAGGGGCTGGAGGACTCAGGGTTCATCAACATGGGGATTAGGGGCCCTTTACAAGGTCTCCTGGCTCCTGCTGTTTGTCCTCCCCTCTCCTGCGCACCTGGGCCAGAGACCAGGCATTGCTGAGGGGAAAACGTGTGCGCGCCTTCAGGAGGCAGAGAGGCCCGTCCTGAGCCCTGAGAGCACAGGGTGGGTCCCCAGGGACATCCAGATGGCTTTCCTGAGGCCTCCCCAGCACTGGCGCAGGAGCTGGTAGGTTTCCCTTCGTGGCCTGCCGTGGCCTCGGTCCACCCCAGCAGGTGTCAGTGCCCTCAGCTGTGGTTTGGCCTGGGGCACCCTCCCACTCCCAGCCATAGGAGCAGCAGACTGCGGGAAGTAGGCAAAAGGCACGTGTATTTAGAAAAGATCTCTTTACATATGTACACTAGAGTGCATTATAAATACTTCAAAACTAGAGGCCACCTGCCCGCAGATCTGGGGCCAGGGAGAGGTGGCCAGGCAATAATTTAGGGAGCGAGGGGAAGGGATTGCATATATATTAATGGGGATCTGCCCCACGGAGCCCCGAGTGGCGGGGCCTGAGCACCGGGGTTTCCTGAGTTGGGACCACCAGCTTTGCAGCTTTAGGGCCTGGGCTGGGTGGCCCTGTGGGGCCTGGCTGAGGGCCCTGCACCCGGGGAGTCCTGAGTGGGCCTGCCAGTCGGTGGGGAAGGCACTGCAGGGTGCTGGTGGGCCCTCAGTGGTCGCAGGGTCCGCTGGGGCTCCTGCCGGGGCTCCTGCCGGCTCCCAGGGAAGCTGCTGTAGTGCAGCAGCTGGACAGCCATCGTTCAGGAGGTGCCAGCCGGGCAGCAGTCTAGGAGTTGGGAAAAGGCGGGCTGAACTGGATCACACTCTGCCGCTCTGGGCCTGCAGCGCCTGCACCCAGCGGGCCCGAGGGCTCTGCAGGCCCAGCGTTTAGGGAGCGCAGCATGTCCTCCAGCACCTCCTTGAAGTTGATATCGCAGCCCTGGTGCGCCAGTGTGGCAGGGTCGGCCACAGAGTCCCGGGTGCCCAGCAGCAGCGCACCAGGGTCTGGGGGCGGCGCAGGGAAGGCGAAATGCAGAGGTGGTGGGAAGGCTTCCGCTGGTGGGCTGTAGGTGAGGTCCAGCACCTCGCCAGGGCCGTAGGGCAGCTCCAGCGCGCGCGGCACGTTCTGTGTGGGGGCGGCAAGGCCCGGGCCGCAAGCACTCCGGCGCTTGACGTCTGCGTCCATCTGCTGTAGCTCCTGCAGCACGCGGCGCACGCAGCCCTCAGGTATTTTGATGCCTGCAGGTGGGGTAGGTGGGGTAGGTGGGGTGGGCAAACGGGTCAGCGCCCCGCCTCGTGGCCCCCGAGGCCTACCGCGCATGTGCCCACTCACCCACTTGCTTCTTCTTGTCCTTGGTTTTGAGACGCACAATCTGCAAGTAGCTGCTACTGCTGACGTCAGCCATGACAGCGGCAATGCGGCCCCACACGCGGAGCAGGGCCCCGCACAGCATGTAGTGGTGCCGCAGCCGCAGGCCCTGCGTGCAGTCCTTGCCCTCCTGCACTAGCCGGCAGTGCTGGTTCCTGTGGGGTGACCGTGGTCAGCAAGCTGTCAGGGTCCCTCAGCCCCAGGTGCTGATGGGGTGCCCAGTCCTTGGGACTGATTGGCCCAAAGGGGGCTGCCAAGGGGTGGAGCAGGGCTCTGTGTCCAGTGTGCACCCTCCCACCTGGCCTGGACTCTCACCATGCAGTGTGGCTGCAGTGTGTCAGCGAGAAGGCGTAGCCGCTCTCCCAGTGCTCCCGGGCCTCCTCTGCAGTAACCTGGGGACACAGCCATAAGCCAGGGCCTGCAGCCCAGGCAGGGCACAAGAGGAGGGGCCTGCTGGCTCTGCAGCTTCTCCCAGATGCCAGGGAGCTACTGACGAAGGGCTGGCCTGGGGCCTCCAGTCTGGGGAAGTGAGCTTGCTGCCCGCTACCACCTACCCGCCGGAACTTGCGGCACAGGCTGTCCAGGGTCTCCAGCTGGCTCTGCCGGCCGATGTTAGGCTTGTACACGGTGAACTGCTTGCCACGGTTCTGTTCTGCCAGGAGGCAGCTGGGCTTGTTGCCCCGAACCTGGGAAGGGGAGTGGTGAGGCCCTGCCCTCCAGGGCCTCCAGGCATGTGACTTCCTGGCTACTGATCAGGAGTGGGCCCCACAGGCAGGAGATCGCCATCCTGTCCAGCCACAGTGACTGACTGGCCACCCACAGTCACTCTGGTCTTGCTCTAGAGTGTGAGGAGCAGGCAGGTGCATGGTGCGGGTGGCTGCCCACCTTGTAGGAGAGGTAGAAGCCATCATAGGGGCCTGTCAGCTCCAGCGACTTGGCGAACGCCTCCTCCCACTTCAGGCCACGGTCCACGCTGATCTACCACAGCAAGTAGGGCATTAGTGGGGCGGAGCAAGAGGCGAAGGCTAGGAGCTGGCAGCACCCTGCTCACCTTATAGAAGACCACCTGCCCGTCCTGCGGGTGCCCAGGGGCCAGGAACACCTGCTGGCTTTCCTCGTAGATCTCGTCAATGCCGGGAGCCAGGTCTGGGAAGAAGGCAGGGTTGGGTGGTGAACAGAGCCAAGGCCCAAGAGCCCCAGGGGTTGCACCATGGGTCCAACCCAGGAGGCCGAGTTGGACCTGTGCTTTGGGAGCCCTTGCTGACACCACTGAGGCAATCCCCCAGGTGACCATATGGGACAGATATGACTCAGTTTCTGGATGCCATCCCGGGGGCCAGTCCCTCCACATGTGACCAGGCAGGCCCTGTGGGCCTCAGTGCCCTGTGCTGTGCAGCTCCGAGGGTCCCGTGTGCTTTGTGAACCAAGTTCTCTCCGCACAGTCCCAGCTGTCAGTGTTCATCCACAGGGTGCTAGCCAGGTGGCCAGCAGACTGGCCAGCAAGGCACAGATACCAGCCACCTGCCCTCAGAGGGGGTTTACAACCACTGATGGTGAACTTCTCGAAGGCCCGGAGTGTGGGGGCACATGGGCCACTAGATGGCCGTAGGGTAGACGAGGAGCCCACGGCGGCCTGACCTTGAACCCAGCTAGCACCAAGCGCTTCCATCTGAGCTTCAGCATCCCCAGAGCCACAGCCACGTGGGGGGGCCCGCCTCCCCAGGACCCTCCTGAGGGCACCGCCTCCGAGCTCCGGAGTCCCACTGCGGAGGCTCACCCAGGATGCCCATGTCGTATCTGCCCTCCTTCTTGTCCATCTCGATGAGGTGGTCAAAGGTGTCTGAGAAGTATTGGAACAGCGCGTTCTGCTTGTGGACCTCCAGCCCCAGGATGCGGTTGAGGAACTTGGTGATGGAGCAGTCTGGGTGCAGGAGGGACCAGGTCTCAGGCTGCACTGGGCTACCTGCTCCCCTGCCTGTGCCCAGGTGCCATGGGGACTCACCCTTCTCCACGTCCAGGCAGCCGGACCGAGACTCCCGCCCGCCAATGCCGACTGACAGCAGGCCTTGCTTCATGTCTGCAGGAAGGGGGCTTTGCGTGCTGATCCTGAGGAGCCTGGGAGCCCCCCCCCCAGCCCCCTCCCCAGCCCCCCAGGCCCTCCCAGGCCCTTGTTTCTCTCCCAGCCACTGCCTGGCATGCATGTGTAGGATGGGTGTGGGGGGCAGTCCCTGATGCTGAACTCCTGGGGCCAGAAGCTGTATTCTCACAGAAGCCAAACAAGAGTTCCGGGAACAAGCACGGACGCCATGCCCTCAGCCTCAGCCCAGTGGGGGCTACTGGGGGCCACTGGCTTCCTCAGCCATCACAGCCCTTTGTGTGAGTGTGGGAGGAGTCTTTCAACACAAAGCCAGCCTGCAGAACTGGTGCCCCAAACTGCTGAACCCCGCTGCTCTGCTGTCCTCCCAGAAAGACCCCGTGTGTATCCCCAGCTCACCCCGGAAGAAGGCCGCATCCCCTCCAGGGTAGCCGCGGGGCAGGGGCACCTTGCTGTCTGTCTGGCTCAGGATGGTGCTGAGGACTCGGCTGAGGGCCCGGGCACCGTACTGGGGGCAGCAGGTGGGGAGTGAGTAGGGAAGAGCTAGAATGGAGTCCGGCCTCCCCGCCTCAGCCTCCCCAGGTACCTTGTTTTCAAAGTTGTACTTGCTCAGGTCCCGGGACTCAGTGGCACGGCGGTCTCCGTGGGTCAGGGCGCCCTGCCAGGGTTGGAGAGGCCATCTGTTGTTGCCAGGAGGACCTCCCCCAGCTCCTGGAGGAGACTTCCCCAGCCTGCCTTGGGCCCCAGCCCCAGGCCCCCGCTCACCAGGCTCTCCAGCCGCTTGGCCACGATGGAGGCGAACCGGCGCTCCCCGGCCAGCTCGGAGATGAGGAACACATACTCGGGCGCTGAGACCTGGTTGGACCGGTGGGTGCGGCCTAGGGGCACAAGGGCTCTCAGGAACAGCCTGAGGGGACACTGGGGCAGGGGCCAGCCTTGTTGGGGGCCGGGCTCACCAAACTGCTGGATGGCACGGTCAGCACTCCAGGGCAGCTCCAGAGTCATGTGTACACGCCGCCGCTGGTTCCTGACCCTGCGGTCTGCTTGGAGCGAGACGCCAGAGCTGGAAGCCTCAGAGATGATGGCCACGAGCTGGAGGTGGGGGAGGGGGTCAGTAGGCTGGGAGCAGGGCACGGGCCCTGCCTCAGGCCTGTGCTGCCCTGTCCAGCCACCAGCGCCTTCCACCCACTCAGCTCAGGGTTACCAGGACAGACGTGACAGACATGTCCAAAGAACATCCAGGGATACAAGAGGTCTGTGGGGGTCACTCATGTCCACACGCACACACGTGCAGAGACAGGAGTGCACCCCCACACTGCGCAGGCACAGGGGTGCGCACTCACCCCACGCTGTCCCCTGGAGGGACACCTGAAAGGGAGGGTGTCTGCAGCCCGGCTGGGTCCAGGCCCCTCCCTGCCCTCCCGCCGCACACCTTCTCTCCACTCATGAAGCGCTGCTTCTCCCTGAGGTTCACATGGTCAATGGACAGGCCCTGCTCTGCCCGTGACTCGAAGGCCACTGTCCCGTTGGGCCTGGACACAACACGGCCTTTCCTGCCAGTCATCTGTGGCGGAGGCAGGGAGCCCAGGGACAGGTTGTCAGTGGTGTGACACCCAAGGATGTCCCTACCTCCCCACTGGTGACCCTAGTGTCCTGGCTGTGTGGGAATGGTGGGGACTTGCTGCACCCTGGGCAGCATGGTCTCAGTTGGCCCTGATTTCGACGTATCTTAAGATTTACATTTCTAGCTACCTGGTACACAAGGTAAGGGACAGTAGGTAAGGGACAAGAGGTAGTGGGTGAGCCAGGCCAGGCCAGGGCTGGAGGACGGTCCTGACCAGGCAGCCTATCTCCTAGCCCAGCTGCCATCTGGGCACTGTGTCCTGGGGGTCTGGCAGTGGCACAGGGTGACCACAGGGGCTGCCACCCAGAGTCAACCAGAGCCAGGCTGACCACAGCTCTGCTCACCTCCGCCACTCGCTCAGGACCCCCCAGCTGGTCGATGAGCTCGTCCAGGGTGTTGACCGGCAGCTCCTGGCCCAGCACTCGCACCTTGGCCAGGAGGTCCTGCTTCAGCCGCTCCACCCGTTCCAGGACACCAGGACCATGCAGGTCCCTCTGCAGGGAGCACACAGGGCCTGCAGGGCAGAGGGTCAGGGTGGGACTCAGCCCCGCATGACATAAACCCCTTCTGGATTAGCACAAGGGGCAGTGAGGGGTCCTGGCCAGCCTGAGGGACGGTGGGAGCCGCTGTCTGAGACCTGTCTTCCCCCAGGCCAGCTGGGGTGCCAGCCCCGGCCTCCTCTGGGCCCAAACTGCATAAGAGAGCTAGGTCCCCTCTGGCAGGCCGTGTGGCCCTGCCCTGGCTGATCTGAGCCTCAGTGTCCCCCTCTACCAGGAGGCTGCACCCACCACCAGAGCCCAGGGTGGGGCGGGACCAGGACTGCACTCAACCCTGACCCAAGCAGACCCCTACCTCGGTCATCTGTGGGGAGCCCTGTGGTGTCCACAATGACCACATCGTCGTCCACCAGGGACTCCGGGGAGGAGTGGAAGTCACTGTCCAGGCCAGCGTCTGACTCGGTGCTGCTGTCATCACTGATGTGGATTACACCAGCCCCCTCCAGCGCCAGCCTGGGGACCTTGGTCCCACGGCCCCGCGGCCGCCCTGCAGCGCAGGAGCCGGGGTCATGTGGTGCCAGACAGTGGGGCAGGAAAGGCAGGCCGAGCTGGGGCAGCGGGCGCCGGGGACTCCCAGGTGCCAAGCAGGTGGGGCCTTCTGGGGAGGGCCTGTCTGCATGCCCACTGCCCGGCCCTTGCTCGAGCCCCTTGCTCCTTCTGGGGTGAAGGGTGCCTTGGCAGAAGCCCTGTGCACGTGATTTTGGCTGTTTTCTTGGGTCTTCCTTCTCAGAAACCCGTGTCCCCTGTTGCTGGGCCAGGGCGTGGGGGAAAGGGGCACCGTGAACATCCATAGCCTCGTGTTTCTCATGAGGCAGCTCTGGGCTTCCAGGCAACGCCGGCCTGTGGGTTGGTCAAAGGATGTGCCCAGAGCCCCCAGAGGGGACAGCAGTATAAGGGCCACCCTCGAGGCCTGGCGAGTGGAAGGAGAGGGTGGGTGTGGGCAATGGAGGGCCTCAGAGTGACAGAGGCCTTGCAATCCCAGCTCTGTGCCCTCATGCCTGGCTTCTCTTGGCCTGGCTCCTCAGGTGCCCTGCAGGACAATGGCCACACCCCCTCACCCACATGCTGACTGCGACTTCAGGGTCTGGGGGACGCTTTCTGGGGCCCCAGCCTGGTCTGCGCAGCCAGCAGGGCTCACTGTCTGAGCAGGGCAGGATCCTGGTGGAGCCCGGAGGCCTCAGCTGCCTGGTGAGGGTGAGGCTGCTGCAGGCCATGGCCACTGGCAGCACCAGGGCTGCTAGTGCGACAGCCGGGCAGGGCCCTGGGCTGCTCTCCTCGGGGTGGGCGGGGGCCCGAGGCTGTGCCTGCGGGGCTCCTCGGGGAGCCTGTGCCAGTGTCCCCAGGACAGCCTCCTGAGCTCCCCTTGTGGGACAGGGGCTGACCATGCCCACTGGGGCAGTCCTGGGCTCCTGTATGATGCAGGGCAGGCCTGAGTCAGGAGAGAGGCCCTGCAGGCTCTGGAGGGAGGATGGGAGCAGGGGAGGGGAGTGGGAAGCCGAGAGTGGGCACAGAGGCCTGAGGCAGGGCACTTCTTACGTCTCCGCTTGGCAGCGCCTCTGTCCCGCTTCCTCCTGGTGGAGGGGAAGTGCTTCTGGATGAGCGACAGGAAGACGCCTCTGCAAGGAGAAGCAGGCGGCGCTGCCACCAGGCCCAGGTGCAGGCTGGGAAGTGGGGGTGTGGGGACGGGCTTGGCCTCTCCAGGGCAGCACTGGCCCCAGTGAAGGACCGCAGGCATGCCAGAGATGGGCCAGGGGCAGCGTGGGCAGGGGCCTGAGCCCCGGGAGTGTCCTTGCTGAAGTGTCCTGGACAGAATAGCTGAGCACCTCCAAGTGAGGGCAGCCTGCGGCCTGGGGCTGAGGGAGGTGCTGTGGGAGCCCTTGGGCCTGGTGATGAGCAGCCAGCAGAGGGGTGAAGACCCCGAGCAGGGTGGGAAGTGAGGCTGGCGCTGTGGGGACTGACCATAGTGCCATTCCTGGAAACCCGTGAGAGGGTTAGGTGCCTGAGCCACGCGGGACCCACGAACCCCACCACAACCTCCGCACCTGCTGGGGCTGGGGTCACCCGTGCGTAATTCTCCTAGCCAGAAAACAAACTCCAAACCCTGAGCCCAGTTTAAGGCCTCAAGGTTGGCACTGTGGCCTGAACACAGCTTCCCGACCCCCATCCTCCGCTGACAGGGACCAAAGGGCAGGGCCAGGCCACAGGCTGGTCATGGGAAGCCGAGCGAGCCCAGCACCCCCACTCCCACTCACTCAGCAGCGGACACAAAGCAGTCCAAGTGCCCCTCGTTCTCGTCCAGCACCTCACGGGTCCGCGCCTCGCCTGTTGACTGTAGCCCGATGACCACACACTGCAGGGACAGTGGCTCTGAGCTGGGCGTGGGGAGACTGCCATTCCCCTCCACACTCTGCCCCTGTGGCCAGGAGTCTCCCCAGGGGCGGTGATGGGAAGGGATCAGCAGTCTTCTTATCTCAGGACTGGCCAGCCTGCCTACCACAAAGTCACAGCCTAGATGTCCCTTCCTGCAGACCCTGCCCAGTCCACCCACCTCAGCAGCACATTTCAGACCCCACCACCCTTGGGCCTGCGTGACCGAGATGGACCAGAGAGTCTGGTCCCCTCTGATGGCCCAGCAGCTCTCGGGAGGGTGAGAGGAGTCCAGGGCAGGGGTGAGCAGCGGGGTCAGTGGCCGGGCCTGCACACCTTGTCTCGGGCCAGCTCCTCGCGGGCCAGCTCCACCAGCCGGCGCACCTTGGCAGCGACACACAGATACTTGAAGAAGCGCTGGTGGGCCGACCAGAACTGGCCCCACAGGGACTTGCGCGACTCGAGGCCCACCCAGTCGGCCGCCTGCTGGAACACGCCCAGGGCCTCGGCCCACTGCAAGGACAAGGAGTGTCCTGAGCCTAGGCCCTGCCTGCACCGAGGGCAGAGCATCTGCACAGGAAGAGGCCGGGAGCCAGCAAGGCCGGGCAGAGCGCAAGGAGCGGGCTGGGGAGCAGGGCTGGGGAGCAGGGCTGGGGAGCAGGGCTGGGGAGCAGGGCTGGGGAGCGGGCTGGGGAGCAGGGCTGGGGAGCAGGGCTGGGGAGCAGGGCTGGGGTTGCAGCGGTTCAGAGCCCAGGGGAGGGCGGAGGCAGCGGAGGCCCGCCTCTGAGGTCATCCCCAGTCCACTCTTGATGCCTCAGCCCCAGAGGACACCAGGACACCTCTGGGGACACCTAGAAGCTCCTGGCCTGGAATGGCCTGCAGCGCCTAGGATGCCACCAGAGGATGACCTCACCCCACATGTGCGGTGCAGAAGGGGACCCTGGGATTGTCTGACCTAAAGAAGTCACCTGGCACAAGCGGGGCACGGCCAAGGGTTTATGCCCAGGCCAGTAAGGAATGGAACTCGTCTACGCACAGCCACCAGCAGGCCACCACCTGGGACAGAGTGCTCCTGAACCCTGGGAAGGTGGCAGCGGCTCTGGCTGACACCCCTGTGTCACAGCACAGGACATTCCCAACAGGGGAGCAGGACGAAGGCCTGGGCTTCCCTGACGGGCACAGGGCTCCGAGGAGACACACGGGGTCCCCGCATCAGCCCACCCTGCCCCAGAGGGGCCTGGCTCACCAACAGCGCTGCGCGGTTGTAGACATGCTCAAAAGCTGGGGGCAGGGGGATCTCCTCGATACGGAAGGTGACTCCAGAGAAGCTGAGCTGGCGTGCGATGTACATGCCGCTGACCTTCATGTCCATGGCTACGATCTCCATGGCACCTACACCCCTGGGGACAGGCATGGCCTCCTCAGCACCATGTCCCACCACAAGATGGAGTGCCTCTAGGGAGGGGCGGAAACTGGGATGGGAAAGAGCAGGTACACAGAGGGTGGCCAGCCCGGGCAGACTTGCAGCTAGGCCGTGGGTCCCCGGGAGCCTGCCTGGAGGAGGCAGAGAGGCTGTGCAGGGCCAGGGCCTGGCGGGAATGGGCAGAGGAAGGTCTGATCGTGCCTTAACACAGGACACAGGCCTGAGGCCAGGGTGCTGGTGGGAGCTGCCCCCACCCAGCACTCGGAAGGCGCTCACCTCTTCTCAATGGCGTGTAGGAATTCCTCAAAGGTCCGGAAGGGCGTGCCTTCACCCCAAATGCCCAGGCGGCTCATGTAGATCATGTTTCGCGGCTCAGAGGCACCTGGGGACGGGAGCCGTCAGCTCCTCCTGACCAGCCAGGAGGGGATAGCTAGAAGCCAGTGGGGGTGCAGGGGCTCGGGTACGACCACGGGAGGGAGGGAGGGAGGGAGGGAGGGCCGGGTGAGGGGACGTGGGGTGCCTGCTGAGACTGGGCAGAGCCAGCTGGCCAAGGGGAGGCCCTGATGGTACGGTGGCCGAGGGACAGCAAGAGCCTTTGCCCCAGGCCTTGAGAAGCTGGGTGTGGGCTGGGCCTGAGGAACTGTGGGCAGCAGGCCCAGCCTGTGCCCCAGCCAGCCCACCCGGCTTGCCGCTGCCCCAAGACTGGCGGGGGGGCCCCACGCTCCACCTGTAGCGCTGGCGTAGACCACTCTGGCCAGGGGCAGCTTGTTCTGCAGGTCCAGCACGGCCTTGCCCATCTTGGTGGAGCTGGCGTTCTTGGCCTTGTGGCACTCGTCAAACACAATCTGGGGTGGGCGAGGGTTAAGGAGCATCCCAGAAGGGGTGTGGGCAGCCCAGGCCAAAAGCCCTCGGGCCTGGGAACTGGGAGCCATGCAGAGCCGTATCTGTCAGCTGCTGGGTGACAGCTTCCAGCAGGCCTGGGGAAGTGCAGGCAGGCACACAGGCACGGCTGCCGTCGGGGATGGCGAGGTGCTCACCTCTGCGTCCTGGGTGCAGTTCGGTTTCCCGTTTTGTACCTGGGTTAGAACCAGGGCCACTGCACCTCTGAGCTGCTACATCCTGAGGTCTGTTTCTCTCGTTTTTTTGTTTTTTTTTTTTTAATTCCATCTAAATCTGAGACAAGGTCTCACGAAGTTGCCAAGGCTGGGCTTGAACTTATGATCCTCCTGCCTCAGCCTCCCTGCTCACTGTGACAGACTCAAAATAATAAAATAACAAACGAGGACGGGGCGTAGCTCAGGGGCAACGCTCTGGATTCAACCCCAGTACCGATGTGAAATAAGGTGCCCCTGTGGGCCTGCCTCCCTGGCCCTCGACAACTCCCAGCAAGGCCCAGCCCTCGGCACCAGGCCTGTCTCTAGGACAGCGGGGACTCTGGGTACCATCTGCATGCCTGCAGGCTGCACAGAGGCCACCATCGCCTCAGGACTCATCACAAACACCCACACAGAGTCTCTGGTCACTGTTTGGCTGGCCAGTGCCAGGCCAGGTCTCGGCAGGGGTGGGGGGCAAGGGTGAGCCGTGGAATCCTGCTCCTGCTGGGAAGTCCAGGCCTGCGGGGTCTGGAGGCTGGCCCCGGTAATGCCTGCAGGATACCACGCCCTCAAAGGCCTCCCCGCACCACTGGAGAATCTGCCGCAGACGCGTGCGGTGCTGCCCACCAGCCTGGCTCTCCCCGATCAGGGCGGAGTAGGTGGCGAAGAGGACGCCCTCTGAGGTAGTGTTGTCGCCGTACTTGATCTGCAACAGGCGCAGGCGCAAGCATGGGGATCCTCGGCCTTCCCGGCTTGGGTTCCCCTGTGGAATGGGAGTGGGCACTGCGGGGCTGCCCCCCGCGACCCCCGCCCTTCCAGCGTGGGCTTGCGCCCCCCGCACCTTGCTCAGCGCGTGCACGGCGATGCCTGGAGCCTCAATGTCCCGCAGGTCCCGCTCTGCGTCATACTTGAGGTCGTTGGAGACACTGAACCTGGGGCGGCAGCCAGGTCAGGGACGGCCCTGCCCCCTCCCCGCCCACTCCCTGCCCTCTCGAGCAGGCGCTCACCAGAGGGCCTTCTTCCTGCCACGCAGGTAGTTCTCCACGATGATACCAGCCACTGTCCGGCCCTTGCCCACGCCAGCCCCGTCTCCAATTAGGAATCCTGCGCGTTGCCCGCTGGGCAGCAGGACCTCGTGTTGCTGCGGCACGATGGGCGGTTAGAGCCTGGGCTTCTTCCCTCCTGGGCCAGCCCCTCCCCCAGCAGCTGGGGTCTGGGGAGTCACCTGGCAGGCATAGGTGATGGCCTCCAGCTGCAGGGCAGACAGGGCCCCGCTGTCTGCGGTGGGCAGTGCCAGGGTGTAGGTGATGTCAGGTGGAGGGACACTAGACAGTGTGCTGGTCTCCACCACACGGTCTGGGTGCTGCTTCCCGAGCTTGGCTGGAAGGGGCAAGGGGCAGTCAGGCTCGGGCCTCAGTGGCTGGTGAGTAGGCTGGGGACAGGAAAGTCTCACCAATCCCCTGGGGCAAGGGGACCAGGTGCACTTTGGCCCTTGCCCTGTGGCTGTGGCCCTGGGCCCACAACCCCTAGTTGGGGTCCGCAGGGTCTTGTCCTGGGGCTGAGGGTGTCCGAGTGCCCCAACCCAGCCGAGCCACTCACATTTGGACGGCACATAGTCTGCGTAGGTCTCTGCGTGACCCAGCTCTTCAGCCTCCTCCTCCTCTTCGTCCGCCTCGTCCTCCTCCTCGGGCTGGCTCTGTGACTGCAGGTGCATATGAGAGTCCAGAGGCCCCATGCTGCCACATCTGGCCTAGCCTCCCCTGGGGACAGCAGCCTGGCTGCCCAAAGCCAGCGAATGACCTGGTGGGGGTGGCCTGACCGTACCCCCAGGTGGCACCTGGGCTTCAGTTTCCTCATCTGTAAAGTGGGCACTCACTGCAGAGTTGCCTGAGGTTTGAGATCCCTGCCTTGGTGGGTGCCCAGGAGATCTGGGAAAGGGCAGAGAGGGAGCCCCGGCCTGGCCTGCCTGGCTCACCTGGTAGCTGACGAGAAGCGGAGTGCTAGGGAGGGAGGTCCCGGGGTCCTCGAGGCCTGAAAAGGGCCCACTGTGCAGGAACAGCTGGAGGGCAGACAGGGTGTCAGCTGAGGCCTCCTGAATGGCTGGGCCTTGGCCACCCTGGCCCCGAAGGGCCTTCTAGGCCAGTGCTCTGCCTCCTCCTGCCACCTGGGAAAGGTACTTACTAGTTTTCATGGACAACAGCCCTAGCCCCTGGTCTCACAGGACAGGCTGGGCAGGGTCTGGTGGCTTGAGGCCTTGTGTGTATCAGACCATGGTGGTACACAGGCCCACAGGAGCACAGGGGACCCTGGGGGGGGGGCTCCTTTCCAGGGAGAAGATGAGACAAAACTCGGGGCTGCACGGCACGTCGGCCGGGCCCCTGGGCAAGGCCACTGGTGATACTAGCCTGGCAGTACTGTACAGGAGGCCATTTGATATGGTATTTGAGGGGTACAGCAGGCTTTCTGTGGGTGAATAGGTTGCAATGCCCCGTTGTGCGGTGGCCAGGGTGAAGGGATGACCAGACCATGGTTCACTTTGGAGAGGCAGATAAATTGCCTGAGTTGCATCCTGATGGACAGAGGGCAGGGTAGGCAAAGCTGGCCATGGGGCACTGACTCTGGGCTGGCAGCCAGGCCTGGCCTCTGGACTGAGTGTGTGTCACTCATGGCCTCCTCAGGGCCTGAGAACTGACCAGAGTTGTGAATGGTCTGGGAGAGGACCCTGTCCTGACCTGCCCACCCTTGGCGAGCAGCGTGGCGGTCACTGTCCAGAGCACTACACTGAGCCCAGTGGGCCCAGGACACAGCTAGGAGACAGAGGACCCAGATAAGAGTCTGTGTGGTTCTAAAACACCCTTTTAGATGTGTGGCTCTCATTTCAGCCACAGTGAGCCCAGCCTGGACACCGTGTGTGAGCCAACAGAGCCAACAGGAGTGACCGCCAACACCGACCCCTAGCACACCTGACCTTAGGACCCAGCAGGCTTGGCCCCTGAGCTGCCCCCGCCCCAGGGCCATGAAGAGCTGGAGGCTCATGGGGGAACAAGGGTCCTGGGTCCCATCCAGGCGCCGACTCTCACAGCCTGGTTTTCCCGTAGGTGAGGGACACGCCAGATCTTCTAACATCTGCAGGGCTGAGGGTGGCGCCCAGGGCCTCGCGCAGCTGGCGAGCCCTCTCCAGGGACCCACAGGCCCAGCCCACCCTCTGTATTTCATTTTGAGACAGGGTCTCACAAATTGCCCAGGCTGGCCTCTGCCTCTCGAGGACTGGGACGATAGCCCTTGCCACCGTACTGGCCCGACCAGAGATTTTTAAGAAAAAGTGAAGGAAGTCCAGAGAGTCACAGTTCCCTCTCAACCTCTAGCTCTCTTTACTCAACACAAAGCCAGGAAGACCCTGCGAGGGTTCCTGGAAGACTGGTCATGCTCCAGCCCTGGTGGGCAGCTCTGCAATACTAGGTTTCAGATGGCCTTGTGCCACCCACTGAAGGCCAGCCAGGCCCCTAGGGGTGGGCAGTGCCTGCTGGGCACAGATCCCAAGGGGAAACAGGCCTGAGTGGCCCCACATGGTTGTAGAGGGTGGGGTCAGTGCCAGGTGCTCGGAGCCTCCTGTCCCCCTTACTGGCCCCAGCCTGTCAGCTATCCAGGGTATGTGCCCATGTCAGCATCCAGAGGCGGGGCTGGTGTCCAGAGCCTCCACTTCAGGCCCCCCCAGACCCATTCCTAACTTGTTCTCCCAGTCTAGAAGCTTCTTTCTTGCCAAATACCTTAGAAAGGGCTGGATGGGTGTTGTCCTTTGGGCACCACTAAAATCAGGGGCCAGAGAGTTCTCTGGGGTGGGTCTCCTGGGCACTGCAGGGTGCTGAGCAGTGTCCCTGACCTCTACCCAGCAACAGCAGTAGCTCCCCAGGGTGGCAGTCGAATGTCTCTGGAGGTCACCAGAGTTCCCTGAGTGAGAGTTACTACCTAGAAGCCCTCTTCACACCCACAGGCAGGAGCCTGTCTCCAGGGACAGAGCAGGGTGAGGAGAGGCTGCCCCAGCCCTGGGGGGGGGGGGCGAGGGGCTCGCGGAGTCCGGGCAGCCCTGGCAGAGTCCGGGGCACTGACCTTGTCGTGGGTGGACGAGCTGGTGTTCACATCCCAGATGGTGGGCACCTGGCTGAGGCTGTCTGCTGGCAGGAAGTCGGGGGTGTCTGCGATGTCAGACAGGGAGTCAATGGACGAGGAGAAGATGGAGGCATTGGAGAGGTCCTCGAGGTACGAGGCGTCCTGGAAGACAAGCCCCGGTGAGGCAGCACCAGATGTGCACGACGGACAGCAGTACACAGACCGTCCATCATGGGCCGTGAGCAGGAGTGGGTGACACAGCTGCAGGGTGGAGGGACCCAAGGACCTTGTGCTCAATGAGAGCCCGCCACACAAGGCCACAGCGTGTGACCCAGCGACAGGAGGGTCCAAGACGATGTGGACTTGCAGTTGCAGGGCTGGAATGCTGGGGGCAAGGGGGGCTGCTCAAGGGTATAGGGTTTCCTATTGGGGTGACGGAATGCTCCAGAACCCATGGTTGCACAATCATGAACATACTGACACCACTGACCCGCACCCTTTAAATGAGTGAATCACACCACATATGAATGGCACCTCAGGAAAAGAAGCCTGGCTCTTCCTGCCGTCCCCGCCACTCGGGAGGCTGAGGCGGCAGGATGGCAAGTTCAAGGCCAGCCCTGGCAACTTGGAAAGAACTTGTCTCAAACTAAAGTAAAAGGCCAGGCAGGGTGGGGAGGGGCCAAGGGACCCTTGCTGTGCAGGTAGTGCCACCTGTGGCTGGCGTCTGCCACACTGAGTTGAACTGTGGCACTTACAACCTGTGAAGAGATGGGGTGCAGACGCAGCAGAGGGTTGCTGCAGTCTCTGACTGGAGCCTGTCTTCACCGCCACCTGCCACCACCCCACTAGCACCTGGGACACTCCGGGAGCCTGCCCCCGCCCCGGGACCCCAAATGCAGGGGCACTCACATTGCCCCTCCCTGTTTTGCAGACAAGGCCCCGAGGTCCAGGCAGCACCCCGAGAGCCTGGCTCAGGAGGAGAGCCATCTGCCCGCTTCCAGCACCCCCAGGCCCAGAGCGCCAAGCCCTGCTGCCTTGCCCTGGGCCAGCAGCACTTCTTCAGCAGGGCTGGGATCCAGGGGGCTGCTAGGACCCCCACACTCAGCCCTGACAGCAGGCTAGGGAGGGGGCAGGCCCGCAGCGTGCAGGGCAGGCTGGGGGCCACTGAGAAGCCCAGAGAATGGCGCCCTGTCAGCTGAGTTTGGGGTTCTGGGCTCTGGGGAAGCCTTCCTGGGACCTGGTCAGCTCCGCTCCATCAACGGGCAGACACCGGAGGATGGAGTGACCAGAGGACACAGGTCCTCGGTCTCAGACTGGCTTCAAGGGCATAGCTGGGCCAGCATCCCCGCATCTCAGAGGGCACAGAGGACAGGAGACCCCTGATCTCTCTTGCCCTGCTGAGGGCCATCCTGGCTCATCCCACGGTGAGGTGCCTGACATTCAGATCCCGATTCCCGAAGGTAGGAGTGGGGGTGGGACTCAAGTGTCTGTAACCTCCTCAAGGTGTGCCCAGTCAGGCCCTACCAGATCTCTGTGGTGGGGCTCTGGCTAGGGTCTCCTGAGGACAGCTGGTCAAGCCAACAGGACATACAAATTGGAGTCCTGTGGGCACCCATGGATGCACAGGGCCACCCACAGCCACCAGCATGCTGGCAACGTCCCTGGGACCCCTTTGAGGGCCTGGATTGGCCTCCTCTTACCTGCCCCAGGACCCCTGGTCCCCCTGTGGACAGAAGCACCAAGGACGCTTGGGAAGCAGGAGGGGCAGCTGCTTGCTATGGGCCACAAGGCTGCCTCCCGCCCAGTGCAGGGAGCAAGTCCTGACAACCGCCACCCTTGGCTTAGCTGATGGGGTGGGAGCTCTGCACACCCCACCCCTCCTCCATGCCCAGCCTAAACCCCCTGGGCAGGAGGTGGGGCTGAGGGCAGATCCGAGACCCTCAGCCCGGGCTCCCCCCACCCCCACCCCCCCGCCCACTGGTAGGAAAGTCCCTGGAGGAGAACCCAGCGCTGGCGGGAAGGCAGGTAGCTGCCTGCAGGACGGTGGCCCTTCCTGCCCTCAGGAGCCTGGGCGGGGGCTCCGGAGGCAGAGAAGCCCAAGAGCCCAAGGATAACGGCGAGAGCAAAGAGGGGTATGTCCACTGCTCCACAGCGGCCAGGCTGGGCACCCAACAGATCAGCAAGTCACGCAGACCCGGTCTCAGGAACTGGCTGCTCCCGTGAGGCCACTTGGTGACAGTGGGTCCAGCCTAATCTGACCCAGGCCACCCATCCCCTAGTCTTGTCCCAGACCATCTCTGGGCATGACAGCCTGAGTCCAGGTGAAGGGGACAATGCCAGGGAGCTTGTCCTGTCCCCAGCTCTGGGGCTTTGGTGGGCCTGGAATAGGGACACCCCACTGCAGGTAGACACGTGCCCGGTGGGGGTCCAGCAGGTGGCCACAGGGAGTGCGCCCTGCCTCTGGCTTGGTGGTGGGGCTCCTCACTGAGCCACCCCTCACAGGGGCTGAGAGCTGCCACCAGGGAGCCTGCTTCAGGGCTGGGGAGGGGCGGTCATGCCCGGCCTGACCAGGGTCTGCGGGACACAGAGCAGAGCTCTCATGCCCTGTGGGCTGCACTCAGGGGCCCTCCAGCGGGGGAAGGGGAGACGCCCCAACTCGGCAGGAGACCAAGGCCAGGGCAGCAGCCAGGGCCTGTTGAGGGCACAGACCTGGAGGGGGCGGAGGACAGGCCCTCCTGGAGCGTCCTCCTGGCCCCACCCCGTCACAGAACAAGGAGAACTGACAGTCCCAGCTGAGGGGCAGCCCATGAAACCTCACCACTCCTCTCAACACCGTCCAGGGAGCCCAGAGGGGGTGTGGTGACGGTGACACACGGGGTCCTGATCGGGTCCCAGGGCAGGAGAAGGACACTAGGGGAAACAGAGGAACCTGGGTAAAGTGTGGGCTCTAACTGTCGATGATACAGTGTATCTATGTAGGCCACTAGTGTGACGAGGGCACGGCACGTCACCATGCGTGTGGGGTATGGCCCCTGCATAACTCGGAGCCCACGCCAGCTCTCCTGTGCCCCGGACACAGCCTCCAGCCCACACCTCACCCTCCTTCCCCTTGCAGAGCAGGATGCCCCACTGGGCACCTGGGGCACTGGCCCCCTCACTCCTCAGGGTGGGGAGAGACAGGCCCAGGGTCCCTCTAGATCTCACCACTGTCTGGCCCCACGAGTAGGGCTAAGAGGGGGTCAAGAGAGACCCCTCCCCATAGGCACCCATGCCCCACTTCTGTCTGGAGGTGGGTCTGGGACTTCCCTGGTCCCTCCTCGCTGCCCCACTGCTCCCCAGTCTTCCCCAAGTGCGCGTCCGTCCACCCGGTGCTTGTCCCAGCCCTGCCCGAGCTCAGCTGTGACCTCAGCCCGTGCTGTGTGCCCCACTGACGGGGAGTCCTGAGCCTCCCGCAGGCTGCCCTCCAAAGTCTGTGCTCAGGACTCCTCCCTGAGGGAGGAGGGAGCTGGCTGGCGGCCACGCCCAACAGTGAGGATCCACCAGGGCCTGGGGCTACCTGGACGGTCTTAGTCTCTGCCTTCCAGGAGCCCTGGAGGGGGCAGGAAGGAGGCAGGACCTGGCCTGGGTCTCCCAGGCTGCGGGGGGGGGGGGGGGGGGACATTCAGAACACTAGACACACCCCCTCCTGGTCCAGGAAGCTGAGCCCAGAAATGACCCCAGAAACAGGTGCTGCCCCACCCCTGCCAGATTCACAGGGAGCCGAAGGGAAGGATGGGGGACCTGGCCCTACCCAGTCGAGCAGAGCCAGTCTCAAATTGTACCCACCCTGGTCCACAAGAGGTTCTGATACCAGTCCCACACTGGGCCGGGAAAGGGATAGATGGACGGCAGCCCCGCCAGCCCAGGAGCTCTGGCTCTGGGGCCCTCCCTGGGGCTGGACTGGGCCCCTCCGGTGTCTGCTCTGGCCTGGCCTGGCCTGGCCTGCCGGGGTCCCAGAGCTCTCCCAGAAAACCCTCTCAGATCCGTGCTCGCTGCCAAAGAACAACAGCAGGGCCAGGGGCTACTCACAGCCTGGGTGCTCCTACCCTTTGGGACATTTGGAGGGACAGGTGGGGTCTCTCTCTCCAGGCCCCCACCTGAGCCCCGGCACCATTCGCCCAAGGGAGCAGGAGTGTTACCTGGTTGAGAGCTGCAAACTGTAGGCAGAAGCGCAGTTGGGACATGGCTGGGAAGCGTGGCTGTGCCGGCCGCTGGACAGGTCCCCTGGAGGAGCCGCCTAAGAGTCTCCCTCATGACCGTGGAGGCAGCCCGGCACCGGTCCGTCCCAGGCGGACGGGGGCGGGGGGAGGACTGCGCTGTCTCAGGCCGGCTGCATTTGCATGTTGGGTTAGTCACGGCCTCGCGCCTACTTCCTCTAAGGCCGGCTGACTTTCAGGAAATGATGCCTGCCTGGTAAGTCAGGGCAATTACTGGCAGAGCGAGGAGAATTACTGTACGGGGCGTAATCCAGCCACAGACGGGCTGTCAACAACGCAGGGCTGCCTGGTCTGGGTGCGCCCTGCCAGCCTAGCCAGGCTCCTCTGGGGCACTGGGGTGGGGGCAAAGGCGAGCGGGCACAGGTCTCAGTTTCCCCAGGTTGCTAAGGTGCCAGGTTCTGTTCTGCCTGCTCCCTGGGCCTGGCCAGGGCCAGCTGCTGCTCCGGGGTTATGGGAGGCAAGGTTTCTGGGAACAGAGGTCCAGCCCCCTGCGCTCCCTACACACCCCCTGCCCGCCCGGGGAGCTCCTCTCCATCTGCTGCGGATGTGTGCTCCCTCTTGGAGAGCAGTTCCCAGAGGGGCATGCTAGAGGCCACAGGCAGGACAGGGCACGGGCTGCTGCCCGACAGCTGGGGGTGGGCACAAGCCTGGGCCCCACCAGGCCTGGCCTCTGGCCTGCACCCAGTGCCCAGCACAGCCTGCAGGAACAGTGGTGGCCGAGAGGAGGGCTTCAGCTGTGGTGGAGAGCTAATTTGAAGGAGAACACGCTGGATTGGTCATTCGGCCAGCAGAACTCTGAACAGAGGAATATCCTTCTGCCTGCCCAGCCAGGGACCCTGGTCCAGACTGTAAGGTGGCAGGGTATCATAGCAGGCACCTGGATGAAGGACCTGCGTGGGCATTCCT